CCGCCGTGCCAGGCCCCCTCGCCCGGGCACTGGCATGACGTGAACCAACCGCTGAGGGTGGGGCTGGGGCACCCCCTGGGCTCAGCTCCCAAACCACCTTCCGGCTGAGCCTTCTCTCCCAGCCTGGTTCTCAGCCCCCTTGGCCTCCGTGGGAACAGCCCCGGGATCCCCGGGTCCTGCGCGGCAGAGGGGGGCACCCCCCAGCTGGCGTGTGGTCCCGACGCCTCCTCTCCCCACTCCGTCCCTCCCTGCCCTGCCTTGGGTTCCCTTCCAAACCCGACAGCCCTCCTGTGCCTCCACCAGGCCGGTCCCTCGGACGGGATCGCGCCAGCCTTTTGCTCCGGCTCCCCCGGGGTTCCTGCCAGCCCGGAGCATGGGCAGGGCCCGGCGCTGACCCCCCGTCTGTGCCCCAGGAAAAGCCCCACGGTCATAGCGGTGATGGTCGTGAGCTGCCTCTTCATCTCCTGCTCCTGCTTCCTCCTCATCCTCCTCTACTGGCGCGGGAAGAAGATCCAGAAGAAGCGGGCGATGCGCCGCTACCTGGAGAGGGGAGAGGTGAGACGCCCCCCCGCCAGCCCCCGCGGCCCCTGGGAGCAGGGCTGCCCCGGGGGGGATGTGGGCGGGAGCCGCGGGGGGGAGGGTCTTGTGCCCGCAGGGCGCTCCGGTGATGGGGCAGAAAGGAGGGTTGTGCCAAGAGAGAAAAGGGCTCATTTGCTGGTGCCCCTCAGCCCCCCGCTGTCCCGGCTCTGTCCCCCCCAGCTCTGCCGGGGCCCCTCTCTCCCGACCCGCAGCCCCCCGCTGTCCCGGCTCTGTCCCCCCCGGCTCTGCACGGGGCCCTTCAGTCTTGTTACCTCGGTCAATGAATAGCCCAGGGAGAGAGGCACAAATCACTAGCCAGGGTGGGAGCATCGAGGCAGTGGGGGGGTCTGGGAGGGGCAGCCGCCCAGCTCCGGTGCCACCATCTCTTTCTGCCTTGGCAGAGCCTCGAGCCCCTGGACCCAAGCGAGAAAGCCAACAAGGTGCTGGCCCGGATCTTCAAGGAGACGGAGCTGAGGAAGCTGAAGGCGCTGGGCTCAGGCGTGTTTGGGACGGTGCACAAGGTGAGGGGGGGGCTGCAGCCCGGGGGGGGGATGCTCAGTGGTGCCCTCTGTCCCGGAGCAGCCACAGCTGTTGGGGGGGGGGCGTCTCCTCGCTGCTGTGGGGGGGCTGGGGCGGGGCACCCCCTGGGGTCCCAGCTCTGTTCACACTGGGGATCCCTCTCCCGCCAGGGCGTCTGGATCCCGGACGGCGACACCATCAAGATCCCCGTCAGCATCAAGGTGATAGAGGACCGGAGCGGCCGCCAGACCTTCCACGCCGTCACCGACGTGAGTGAGGCCCCCCCCCGCCAGCCTGGGGCCAGACGATTGGCCCATCCAGCCCAGTGTCCCCGCCCCCTGCTGTGCCACCACTGCCCATTGGCCTATCCACTCTGATGTCCTATCAGCAACCAATCTCAGTGCTTCAGAAAGAGGCTTAAAACTCCCATGATGCATTTCCGTGTGCCCATGAAACCAGGTGGAGGGAGAGCCCCCACCCCCAGGGCCTGCCT